GCTGATCTCAATATTTTTAAAATTTCAGGAAATTTGCAAATTTGTTATGCACATCAAGCATCCCGAATTGTACGCGAAACTCGGCATTCAGCCATCCTGCGGATTTCTGCTTCACGGACCTCCGGGTAGTGGAAAAACGCTTTTAGCTGAAGCCGTCGCTGGTGTATGCTTAATTTGTGCTTCGTATGCACAATTTTTGGATCACAACGTTTTAGGAACTGGCTCTGCCTTTTATGAAGCTAGCCGGCACCGAAATTATTTCTGGTGTCAGCGGAGAGTCAGAAAAGAAAATTCGTGACCTATTTATTCAGGCTACGGTATTTTAAGTTTATACCTTGAAAATAGTTAAATGCCGTGTCTTTTTTAAAGAGAATGAATATTACTGTTTAATGAAAAACATTTTTTGCCTGATTCGCTGCTTTTGAAGACATCTGCTCCATGCGTTCTCTTCATTGATGAAGTTGACGCGATATCGCCGCGGAGAGAGAATGCCACTCGTGAGATGGAACGAAGGATTGTCTCACAATTGCTGTCTTGTTTGGATGGTAAAGCTTTTCATGCTGTAACGCAATTTTTAGTCGACTTCAGATTCGAGGTTATTTCTCCTATCTGGCGATGTCTCGTTTACTTACATTTACTTACGGTAGACTGCGAATGGTGATGTGATTTCGTTTCACGAAGTTTGATCAGATGCTCGAAGTATGTGCCTTCGATGCAGAATTGTTTCGCTGACCGGGTCACTGTCCACTGCCAGTGAGTTCGTATATGCTTCCGTAGATACCTTCAATTCCTTTTTCAGTGTCGCCTTTTCTGGTAGATGTTTGCTAGATTGTATTTATGCAACTGTTCTTCGATGCAACGACAATCGTACCTAAGGGATTAGGCATGAAGAACGGCAAAAAAGCATGTTAATGCTAGCGTTTTGATCCGTAATGGAGGAAACCAAACAGAGCTCTGGTTAAAGCTCATGTTGTCAACGCTTTTTGTTATCACACAGGTACCGTTATCAGGGCACAGATGATAAGACCGACAGCAGAATATCTTGATATATTTTTGTGCAAACTTCAACGATCTCATCTTAAGTTAAGAACTGATTGCCATTACCAACTTCGCAGTTCATCTGCCATCTAACATTTGACTAGAAAGTAAAGTTGACTTACTGAAAAGTTGACTTATTACTAAAAGGTAACATATTTTTGATCTAGATCCTTTTTTTCTCAACGTCCGAGTTACTGGTTCGTTCGTGATACGTGATATCCCTGTTTTGCCAATGTTAACTCCAGGAGCTTACAGTGGCGTCAGCCTGTTCTGTTGTTCATCCAGACTTATTTCATTCATTCCATCCGTATCGTCGTATTAATACAAACGGAAGGAAAGGAAAGTTTGTAACCGTTAGAATGTCGGTCTTCTCTACAAGTTCATGGTGGCGCCATTTTGCATCCTTTTCTATGAAGTTTAAGAGAAAGCGCTAATTTCCGTTTCGATGTCATCAGAGAGAAGTAGAATCAGCACCACCTCTATGACAAGCCTAGTCTCTAGTCGCCTGTTAACATCCTTCTTAGTGTCACTCATTTATCAACTTCAAAAGCAAGAAATACGAGTGACCTGCCCAGGGCTCGAACCCGGACCTCTCAGTTCTGACTCGAAAGCTCGATGATTGAGCATCCATAGTCGTACTAATAATTTTTTATCAATAATGTTATGTTAGTTATGTTATTGATTGTTTCTTAGACCTCAAGCGAAGTGATAAACCCGTCCTCGTAATCGGAGCTACAAATCGTCCTGACGCTTTGGATCCTGCTCTTCGGCGCGCCGGTCGCTTTGATAAAGAAATAATGCTTGGAATCCCGGACGAAAAAGCCCGTGCCAAGTATGATTTGTTCAACTGCTGCGTGTCAGCCTAACTTTAAATGTCATTCATGAATGATTTTTTACTGCACCCCCAAGAAGGATGCTATCCTCAGTGATGGCGCTACCCTGTGTATAAAATGTTCTTGCAATGCTCATCTGATTATCTAACTTTCTACTAGCTCTCAGTGTGTCTTCATGCTGGCCTGAACTTTGCAGTCGATATCATCCCAGTATTACCCATAGGATGCCGTATGGTGAAGCACATGTACAGTTTTTGACAGAACCTGCATCTTACGTGTCATTTTTCGGTATTGTATAATTCTTGGTTCTGACCAGGAGGCCAATATCCGAGACCAGCACGTTAATCCGCCTGAGCATGTTAAACTCAGAGACTCGAAAGCAAACTTCTGATGCATAAATCGGTTACGTCTCTTAATTGCAATTTTGACTTCAGACTGCTGATGATGTCATCCAAAATTTGGAGCACATTCTAAAAAATCCTGACTACCCTAAAAGTACTGTTGTCCCGGTGTTACTGTTGCCGAAAACTGTGCTATCGCTTCTGATTTCCTTTCCTTTTATTTACTGAGAGTTTGGATTTTTTGAATCCAATTTACCAATGAGCAATACACTACTCCTCAGTGGTCTATTCAGTTTTTTAATCTCTACCCGTCGGTTAAGAAGAAAATATTTTAGAATTCTAGAAGTTGCTTCGGACAAACTTCGATTAGAGCCGAACTTTAACTTCCTTCAGTTGGCTCGTCTTTGTCCCGGTTATGTCGGAGCAGATTTGGTGGCACTGATTCGCGAAGCCAGCGTCTGTGCTGTAGACAGGTAGGCATGACCAACCATTAGTCGTTTTCCCATGCGCAGGTGATAAATTTTGAAGGCATGCCGGGATTTTCCGCCATAGTCCAGAAAGCGCAGATAAAGATGCGTCGCAAAGTGCCAGCAGAGTTGGAGATTGGACTTTGGAAGAGCGTATGTAGTTTTTAGTTCTGTACGCAGTTTATGACTGATTCTTATTTGTAGTTATGGACTGGCTGAAAAACCGCCCTCCCTTTGACGAAACCGCTTTGGAGAACATGTTCATCACTTTTGCCGACTTTGTGGTAGGTTTTTCATAATTGTAGTGTGCATTCTCAATCAGTCAACGTATATGAGTTAACTTAATTATGCCTTTGCGTTAATCTGCGTATTCGTGTGCTGACAAATTTCATATTAAGTAAAACCTGTGTGATGTTGCTATACCCAAAAGAGGAGAAAGAGAAATCGCAAGTTTTTAATCATTGGAATGCCGGTCTTTCTTACACTGTGACATTTCGGTCATTTCTTACCCCCTTTCTTTTCACTGCGTTGAAGATTAGGCGCTGAGTTCCATTTCCATGCTGTCACCAGGAGTGTCTTATTTTAAAGACATGGTCGACAGTGGCTATGTGGCAAGCACATTGTGTAGCTAAACTTTCCTTACTACGGAGTGGTATTCACTTATCAACCTCAGTAGGAAGAGGCGCGAGTTACGTGACTGGGCCTCGAACCTGGTACTTCTCGGTTCTGAGTCTGATCGTCTACCGGCTTATGAGACCAATTCTTTTATACCCAGATGCTAAAATGGCTGTTTCAAGCAAGTTGCTTTTAAAAACGGCACTCTTGGCTGATTAGATCATTACGGAAATTAGCTTGCGTCATAAACCGCAAGAAAATGAGTGTAACAACTACTGTGAAACTTATGGACCACGGTCAGTCCCTTTTACCAGAGCCTCGTTATTGAACAATCTCAGGGTTTACGACGAGCCTTCACGGATCACGTAGCTATCAGTACCAGTCTGACCAACTGAAAATCGGATGTGAAAGCATCGCGCTACGAGTTTAGCTCTTTGTACTTCTGAACTGAAGCATCTGAGCGCTCAGTTATGCCTCACCTAATCCGAACCTTTAGCAATTCGAACACGTCCACAAGCTTGGTGCAGTTGAACCTGTCGTAAATAGTCCTCGGTACGTGCATTCTCTTGTATATTCTGTCAGTTTCATTTCTTTTTGTTTGTATTTTAATAGTTTTTTCTAACCTTCTGGAAACGTGCAGAAGGGCTGATAGTTCGGTTGATAGTTCCTCCCTACCATAGTAGTGAATTTCAGTTAAATTGACTGACTCGCCCAATCATGAAATTTTCTGTATTGCTTGAGTAAGGAATGAAAACCACGTTGTCTTACCGCAGTCGGTCGAAAAACGGGTTTTTCGGTGACGTGTATAATAGTCATGGTATTCAGCTCTGATTATGCCAGAATAGGCGACATTTTCTATCACACTATCCGGTGCCAGTGCCCCTTTTAGCTGCATTTTGC